TGTTGCCCAGGCTGGTGTGCAGTGGCATGATCTTGGCTCACTGCAACCTCCGCCTTACGGGTTCAGGCGATTCTCCTGCCTCAGCCTCCCAAGTAGCTGGGACTACAGGTGCCTGCCACCACGCCCGGCTAATTTTTATATTTTTAGTATAGATAGGGTTTCACCATATTGGCCAGGCTAGTCTCGAACTCCTGACCTTGTGATCCACCTGCCTCGGCCTCCCAAAGTGCTGGGATTACAGGTGTGAGCCACCATGCCCGACCCATTATATATTTTTTAAGCCAAAGAACCATGCAGAAAACCATTTGTTCTACTTACAACATAACTTGGAAACAAATCAGTATACAAATTAATATGCTTTTAAAAGCTACAGTGCATTACATGATGCAATATTTAAAGAAGTAAGCCCGATGTATTTTAGAAATATAGTTTGGGCCAAGTGTGGTGGCTCATGCCTATAATCCCAGCAATTTGGGAGGCAGAGTCGGGCTGGTCACTTAAGGCCAGTAGTTCAAGACCAGCCTGGCTGAGATGGTGAAACCTGGTCTCTACTAGAAATGTGAAAGTTAGCCAGGCGTGGTGACGAGTGTCTGTAGTCCCAGCTGCTTGGGAGACTGAGGCACTAGAAGTGCTTGAATCCAGGAGCAGAGGTTGTAGTGAGCTGAGATCGTATCACTGCACTCTACACTCCAGCCTGGGCAACAGAGCCAGAATTCGTCTCAAAAAAACAAGGGAAGTGTGGTACTGTAGCTTGGGCAACAAAAAGAGATGACGGCTCGAAGGGATGGTGGCTCTGGAGCCCTTACGGCGTTTGTTTTTGGAGATAGGGTCTTGTGCTGTCACCCAGGTTGCTGGAATTCCGTGGTACGATCACAGCACCCTACAGCCTTGACCTGTTGGGCTCAAGCAGTCCTCCTGCCTCAGCCCCTGAAGTAGCTGGGGCAAGGTGAACACCATCACACCTGGCTAATTGTTTAAAATTTTTCTGTGAGAAAAGCCGGGTGCAGTGGCTCACGCCTGTAATCCCAGCACTTTGGGAGGCTGAGGCGGGCAGATCATGAGATCAGGAGTTCAAGACCAACCAGACCAACATGGTGAAACCCAGTCTCTACTAAAAAAAAAAAAAATACAAAAATCAGCTGGGTGTGGTGGCACATACCTGTAATGCCAGCTACTCAAGAAGGTGAGGCAGGAGAATAGCTTGAACGTGGGAGGCGGAGATTGCAGTGAGCCGAGACCGTGCTACTGCATTCCAGCCTGGGCAAGAGCAGAGTGAGACTCCATCTCAAAAAAAAAAAAAGTTAAAAATTTTCTGTGAGGACAGGGTCTTGCTATGTTACCTAAGCAGGTTTTGAATTCCTGGATTGTCCTGCCCCAGTGTGCTGGGATTACAGGCGTGAGCCACTGCACCGGGCCCTCCCTGCTTTTTTCAAGTACCTTTGGAAACAGGTTCAGCATTCCTTAATCAGAGTTTTTAAAACCTTTTTTTTGGTACCTAAATGCATCCCTTCATTCCCAGTAACATTCAGAAAGGAGGATAGTTCCAGGCATTCCATCTTCTTTCACGGTCTTGAGGCACGGGCCCCACAAAGGCTGTCTCCCTTGCTCTGTGTACCTTCTGCAGAGGTCCCGGAGCCCATGGCTTCTGTCATATCAGGCACTGTGGACTCCAGGAAGCAGCCTGCAACTAGTGACCACGTGGGCAGGTCCAGGCACAGATCCCAGGCTGTCCACATGCCTCCTTTCCAGTTCTTAGTTCTCTTGGCTGATGCCATTCTCCTCCGGGCTGTGGTCCTGGGGCTTTTCCACAAGACCATTGGCCAGAGTGGGTCTGGGCCGGGCCCTGGCTGGGCTTCAGGCTGAGGGCAGGCCCTGGTGTGTGTCTGGCTGGATTTGGTCAGTTAAGATAAGGTTCCTCGGCCAGGTGCGGTGGCTCACACCTGTAATTTCAGCACTTTTGGAGGCCCAGGCGGGTGGATCACGAGGTCAGGAGTTCAGGACCAGCCTGGCCAAGATGGTGAAACCTCATCTCTACTAAAAATACAAAAATTAGCCGGGCGTGGTGGCAGGCGCCTGTAATCCCAGCTACTCGGGAGGTTGAGGCAGAGAATTGCTTGAACCTGGGAGGCGGAGGTTGCAATGAGCCGAGATGCCATCATGCACTCCAGCCTGGCGACACAGTGAGACTCCTTCTCAAAAAAAAAGAAAGAAAGGGCTCGTCACCCATAGGAGCTCAGAGGTGCCCTGTCAGTGGGGACTTTGGGTAGATCCTGCTACAAACTGCAGTCTGATGAGCTGCAAACTGCATGGTGAGCCCTTGCTGATGGCCTGCCAGCCTTGCTAGATGGCCTGTGTTTCTAGGTGTGAAGACGTGTGGGGGGTCGTGGCCTGTGTTGGAGACGCCAAGGGGTCAGCCAGTGACTCACACCCTGGGGTCTCCAGGGACAGGCTAGTCTGCATTTCTTCCTTGAAATTGAGCAGCTTTTTACCGTTCACGTTTTTTTTTTTTTTTTTGAAGGTTGGACAGATGACCCAGGCAGGCCTCCTGGAGCACCTGAAACTCGAGAATGTGTCCCTATCCCAGCAACTGACGGAAACTCAGCATAGGTCCATGAAGGAGAAGGGGCGCATTGCAGCACAGCTGCAGGGCATTGAGGTGAGGCTGCGTCCGGGGCCATGTGAGGTGAAGAGAACATAGACACACAGACGTAGGTACCGTGTGTTTTTTCTACATGTTCTATTTCTCTGCGTGTCTCTCTCAAATATTCTCATGGATGGCCTGCAGTGACTGCTTATGAAGGCGTTGGGACTGCCCCTCCTCATCTGTGGGGGCTCAGTGCAGTGGGCACTTGCTGCCCTTTTCCTTCAATCCCCGCCTTGGGCCTGGACCCCTGGCCGCCAGTCACTGCCAGTCAGGGATGGCGCTGTGCAGAGGCCGTCAGTCATTACCAGTCAGGGATGGCGCTGGGCAGAGGCCGTCAGTCATTACCAGTCAGGGATGGCGCTGGGCAGAGGCCGTCAGTCATTGCCAGTCGGGGATGGCGCTGGGCAGAGGCCGTCAGTCATTGCCAGTCGGGGATGGCGCTGGGC